CCTAGCTATCCTCAGCCGTCTGGGACACATGAACCATAGGTTGGACAGTCCAATCTAGAAACTGAACTCCTGCCTTTTTGATTAACAGTTGTGCCAGCTCTCCAGCCCTCGACAGTCCAGTGTGGAATCAGAACAGAGGCAGCCCTTCCTCCTCAGGAGGTGGTGAAACCCTGACCCTAGAGGTTTGCAAGCTAAGGCTGTGAGCTTTAAATATACAGCCAGAAAGGTTTTGGGGGGTCTTTTTGAGACAGGGTTTCCCTGTAGCCCCAAGCTGGCTATGTAGACCAAGCTGGCCTTGAACTCACAGAGATCCACCTGCCTCTGCCTCCCAAGTGCTGGGATTAAAGGTGTGTGCCACCACATCCAGCAAAGCTAGAAAGTTTTAGGAAATCTTTATTGTAATGGTTTTCAAAATTTGGCCATGACTCAAAACAAGAAATAGATTTTCTTTCTTTTGTGACCCAGTATCTGCACAGGCAAAACACAGTTTTAATAAAACATGCCATAATTTACTATGCACCATGTATGCTTCTATCTTTTATCCATTTTCTTAATCTAGTCTATTTCTTATTTTTAGATGATGAACTTAATTTTTATCCCAACAATTTAATTTGGAAATTAATGGAAGAACCCACGAGGAAAAGGCCTTAGTATTCCAATAAAAATACTAAAAGGCATAAAAATGATCAGTATGATAAAACTGGGTATAATGGTACATGTCAATAAATCCCAGTACTTGGGAGCTGAGGCTGGTGAATTGAAAGCAAGTTCCAGGGCAAGCCAGGTTACATGGTAATTCCAGGCCAGCCTAGGTTACTGTGTGAGACCCTGCCTCAAAAACAAACAAAAGTGATTGGTGTACTTTTAGAATAGTCTGGTATTAAGAGTATTCACAGTTAATATGCTAAAGTGTTGGGGGGTTACATAAATCAGAATCACAAACAGTTAAAGTCACTTAATTATATAATTGTAAGTACTTTGGTAGCTCAAATTTCACCATCCTTAAAGTGCCAGTCTTTCAAAAGTAATTCTTTATACTCAAAAGTTAAAAGTTAAGAGCTGGGTACAGTGCTTGCCTAGCATGTACAAGGCCCTGCCTGATCTCTAAAAATCACATTAAACCAGGCATAGTAGTGTGCCCCTGAAGGGACTGTGAAATAGTGGTCCCATGGCTTCAAAATATGCTTGGTAAATTAAGCTGAAACGTTGAGCATCTGTGCCTGGAGAATCTTGTTTCGTGAGAAAGTTTATAGAAGAACGCTCACTGAGGAGTTATCTCCGGAATGCCAGTGCTCCCCTAGTTTCTCAGAAGACACTTGTTCTCCCTAGAAGACATACTATGGTGATAATGCTATCTTGCTCATGTTTTACTGAACTACTATATTCTAGTCACTTTATTATTATTCATTGTTATATAAGTTTTCAGCTGTTGCTCTAATGAGTATGCACACATAAGCAGAGCTCTTGTGCTTTTAGCACTCGTGAAAAAAGAAATAGAGTAGCCAGGCGTGGCAGCACACGCCTTTGATCCCAGCACTTGGGAGGCAGAGGCAGGCGGATCTCTGTGAATTCAAGGCCAGTCTGGTTTTGTTAGCAACTGGAGCCAAGGTTCCAAAGGGTGTTGACACCATATCTAAAAAAAAAAAAAAAAAAAAAAAAAAAAAAGAAGAAAGAAAAAAAGAAAGAAAGAGTAAAGAAATAAAATCCCACAAGTCCCCTGGTCTTTTTTCAGTTCTGTGATAATCCATTCAGGTCCCGTGGTCGTTCCTTGCAGCCACATACCCCTGTTGTTCCAGCATTTGAGAAATACAGGCAGAAGGATCAGAAGGATCAGAAGTTCAGCCTGAGCTATAAGAGACTCTGTCTCAAAAAAGTGGGAGAGGGATTGAGGAAATAGCTCAGTTGGTAAACTGCTTGCCATGCAAGCCTAGGACCTGAGTTTGATGCCTAGAATTTATATTTTAAAAAAGCTGGTGTGGTAGCACATCCTTGTAATCCTGGAGCTGGGGAGATGGAGACAAGTGGCTCCCTGGGGCTCCTTAACCAGCCAGCCTAGCCTACTTGGTAAGTTCCACACAAATGAGTGACCTTATCTCAAAAACAAATGTGTGAGGGCCAGTGAGATGGCTCAGGAGGTAAAGGTGCTGCCACACCTGATGACTTGAGTTCAAGACTCAGGACTCAGATTGTAGAAGGGAGAATGGACTCCTGAAAGTTGTCCTCTGACCTCCACACACAACAGATGTCAACAATTTTTAATTAAAAAAAAAAAGGGTGGATGGTGCCTGAGGAACAATGCTCAAAGTGGTTCTCTAGCCTCCACATACACATACACACATGTACCTATGCAGCAATGTACACAAACACAAATACACATACAAGCTAAAACTTAAAGACAGACAAATTATTGTGGTTAGGGAGAGGTCACATGATAATCGGTCTATTTTCAAAACCCAGAGAAACCCAAAAAGTTCACCAACAAAAACAATGAATTATATTTGCTGAAACCAAGACAACTGGCCCCATAGGAAAGCAGCAAATCACTTTTATTTCACTGCTGAAAATCATTGCTTCAAGAGACTTAAGTCTTATCTGCACTGCGAGAACCAATATCCCAGAGCCAGGGGGATTGCTCAGTGGATAATGCTCTTGTCTCACAAGTGGGAGGACCAGAATTCAGATACCCATCACCCACATAAAAGCTTTGTGGATCTGGAAGCCTAACTATAATACCAACACTTGCCAGGGAGGCAGAAATGTGATCCAAGGGCAAGCTGGCTGGCTAAATTAGCCAAATAAACAAGCTCTTGGTTCAGTGAGAGACCCTGGACCCTGCCTCTGTAAATAAAATGGAGAGTGTTTGAGGATGACATCCCTGTAAATAAAATGGAGAGTGATTTAGGAAGACATCCTATGTCAACTTCTGATCTCCATACAAGTGCACACAAATGCTCATGCATATCACACACAGACTACACAGAATTGATTATGATGATGATGTCCCAACCATTAGAGGACCAGTGCATTTAGCTCTGTGAACACTCAGCCTGTCTATAGTTTGGAAATGGCCACTTTGGCCTCAGAATGCAATTTTTTTTGTTGTTGTTTGCGTTTAGCCTTTTTGAGACAGGGTCTCCCTGTAACCCCAGCTGGCCTGGAACTCAAGACCAGGCTGGCCTTGAATGCACAGAGATCAGGGTGCCTCTGCTTCCTGAGTGCTGGGATTAAAGGCATGTATCACTACACTTGGCCCAGAATGCATTGTATACCAGTCAGGTATGCTGCTGCATAACTGTAATCACAACACTTATGAGATAGAATCAGGAAGATCTTGAGCTCAAAGCCAGCCTGGACCACATAGGAAGATCCTGTGTTAAAAAAGGAAAAGATGGCTCAGCAGATAAAAGCCATACACACACAATAAACATATGAAAAAAATTAATTTAAAAAAAAAGTGATTGGTGCCTGAGGAACAAGACTCAAGATTGTCCTGGTGGTAGGTGTGGGATGATCTTCCTCTCATTGTGGCAAGGCTCTGAACTTTTGGGTCTCTGCATCATAAGTTTTCCATGGGCTTCTTTTTATTCCTTTTATGGTTTTCAGTCCTCAGCATGGTAACAGTCAATTATCCTGGTACTGGGGTATCACTTAGCATGCAGATAGAATTACAGTGAGGGCAGAGCTTGTCTGGCTGTCACTCTGCAGTCACCACTTTCCACTAGCCTACCTGAAGAGCTTGCAGCTTATGGGTACCCTGACTTCAAAGAAAAACAAGATTAGCAGTGTAGAAATTCAGTAGGTCAAGTAGGCAGTTGAAGATTAGGGCAAGGTAACAAGATATCATGGAACTTGAGAAGGGCCTGATAAACTAGATTCTGTCAAGCACTGAAGCAGAGAGATTTGTTTCAGGGGTCTGCATTTACCAAGACCACATATCACTACCATCTCCGTCTGTAAATTGTTTTTGAACTTTGAAACTAGTTTTACTCATGAAAGATTGTTCTGCTCTGTGACCAGCAGAAGTAAGTAAGTTTCAGGGACCTCTCACCTCAAAATATCTCATCCTTTCTGCATAGAGAGACTTAAAGCAGTGATTAGCAACCAGGAGCTGAGGAGCAGCCTTCAGGGGGTAGGGTGCAGGTATCCTCCCTTCCAGCTCATTCCTTAATGCTGATCACAACCCATTAAGTTCATATGTGACACGCTAATAGGTCGAAAGTTGCAGTTTAAGAAACACAGTCCTGTGCTGCTCTGTAGGGGTACTGATGGGAGTTTGAGGCCAGCCTGGGTTACACAGTAAGTTCAAGGCTAGCTTGAGCGACATAGCAAGATTCTGTCTCAAAAAGAACGGGGTGGGGAGAGAGGACAGGAAAGGCAGAAGGAGGGGTGGGGAGAGAGAAAAGAGTAGAAGGTAGAAAAGAGAAAGAAAAGGAAAAGAAAGGAAAGGGACAACGAAAGGGAAGGTCGGAGGAGGGGAGGGGACGGGAGAGGGGGAGGGAGGAA